GAGGCAGTATCACTACAGAAGTAGATTGCCCCATCTTCCTTCCGAGGAGTGGCTGGTGCGTTTGAACTGCCAGCCTTCTGGTTAGCAGTCAAGTGATCCAGAATAGTCTTTCAATCTTTCTTTGTCCTTCATGACCTTGACATTTTTCAAGAGTGAAAGAAAACCAAGCCAATTGCTGGTCAAAGAGATTCCAACTCAGGACAACCCCATTAGTTTCAGAGTAAAACAATTCATAGGGTTTTCGATGGCTGTGATCATCTAGAAGTACATCACCAAGCCTTTTTATGAGGTACCTCTAGGGGGTTCAAAAAGCCAACCTTTCAGTTAGTAGACGGGCTTATAGACCAGTAATTTTGTAAAATGTCCTTCTACTGGGGTTTGCCTGATGTTTTATAGATTAGACTCAGGTTATGTATTTTGGGCAGGAATACCACAGACATCATATGTGCTTCTCCAGTACATTGTATTAGGAGGTATTTAGTGTCCCTTTACAACTGTGATCAACTGTTGAAAGTTGTGTCTTCCAGTTTCCTCGACTGTAAAATTTCAGTTCTACCTTGTGGGAAGGTACGATGGAGTCCCTAGGCACATTATATTAGGAGGTATTTAGTGTCCCTTTACAACTTTGATCAACTGTTGAAAGTTGTGTCTTCCAGTTTCCTCGAGGGTAAAATTTCAGTTCTTCCTTGTGGGGAGGTACGATGGAGTCCCTAGGCACACCAAAAGTTAATTGATCGACTGTTAACTAAAAGGTTGGTGGTTTGAACTCACCCAGAAATGCCTCAGAAGAAAAGGCTGGTGACTTGCTTCTGAAAGATCGCAGCCTTAAAAACCCTATGGAGCTAGTTATACTCCACAACACACATGATTGCCATGAGTTACACTCCACACATATGTGATTGCTGTGAGTGGGGATCAACTGGATAGCAACTGGTCTGGTTGGGTTGGGGGAGAAGATACTTTGACTATGTAAATATTCTATTTCTCATTAAAAAGAGAAAGAGAGAGAGAGAGAGCTTGGTGACAGTATTCCCTTCTGTCAAGAGCACTCTGACAGGAAAAGTGAATTGTCCCAACCTTTCTGGGAATCAACTTAACCCTATCTATCAAAATCTTTAACACACTAAACTCACTATAAGAAGTGAGACTGAAAGAAAACCAAAAGTATAGTTAAAGATTTCCACTAAAGAATATTACCATAGTGTTATTTATAGTATTAAAAAATTAGAAACTACATAAACATCTAACAACAGAAAAATGAATAGTTATGTTACAGTACATCCATAAGAAAATATATTTTGTAAGTGATTAAAATGAAGTTTTTTGAGATAGACCTAGAGTAACCCTAGAACTAGAACCCTAGAACAAGTGCTATGCACTTATTTCTCTCAACCCATTCTCCCTTTCCCAAGTTTTCCATTTGGACGCAGCATCATTCCAAACCCAAGAAGCCAATACTTAATCTCTATTTCTCATCCAGTTTCATTGTCCTCATCCACAACTTCTTCATGGCCTTCTTCATTTCAGCATTTCTCAGGGAGTAGATGACAGGGTTGAGGAGAGGGGTGATCACTGTGTAGAACACAGCCACCATCTTGTCTGCAGCCAGAGTGGCAGAAGGCCTCAGATAGATGAAGATGCAGGGTCCAAAGAACAAGATCACCACAGTAATATGGGACCCACAGGTGGAGAGGGCCTTCCACCGCCCCT